CGAGGGATGTGGGGTCCTTGACTAACTTCTCGTTGGCGCCGTGCTGCTGGTTCTCTGGGCCAATATTTATTATAATGATGCGTTGATATGTTGTACCCTTACCTTGGTGTGGTAAGCGAATGGGAGTTCATTAAATTAGTGAGGGATAAAGTGAGGGGAGGTTATGTGTAGGTTTCAGAATCTCACCGCGCGTCCTAAGATTCCTGAGTCCTATGTTCCTAAATACCTAGAGTTCAAGCCTAATGTCCTAAAGTCCGGTCTTAAGAGTTTTAGCCTAGGGTCAAACTTAGGCTCTGATACCAACTGTAACACCCCAGATTTTCAAGACATTTAAAACTTATAAAATAAAGGTGAAACCTCATTAAATCCCAAAACATAATACAAGAGTATGGGGTGCTATGCCACACCTGAGCTAGAGAACTCAGGTGCACAGGCTAACTAACTAATATCCTCAATAATGTAAAGGCATAAGCATGACACGCAGGCCGAAAGGGAAACTATCTACTTCTACGTTCCAAGTTCTAGCGCGCTCCAGTGAATTATTCTTCAGTGCCTGAAAGCCAAATATATCTGTTCAGCAAGAGATGCTGGTAACCCACTCCAACGCGTTGAAATACAATACATATAGAGATATATATAGATATACGAAAACCATTTTGAGCATGAAGATATATCCTACGAACTCTAGCTTTGAAATCCGGGAATGACTCGACAGATAAGGTTAGACACAAGCAACAGTTATAACAAGCGTATACAATCCAGAACAGGCAAGGCAGATAAAGCTGAGCACAATTAATAAACATAACCCAACATAAACAATCCCCAGCATAAATCCCTTAGTCACATCCCCCAATATACTCATAAACACAACTCCTCCATATCTCATCACATAGCAGACTTTGTTGGCGCCACAGGACCAATCGCATGCCCATACATGAGGGTCAGCGCATATAGCTCTGACACGGCCCGCAGCACCCTGCCCCGTCTCACATTACGGAGGAGCCGATCGCAACCGACTGATGGACCTTTGTCCTACATAATATTTATATACCTGACCGGTCTTTACCAGCCTGGTGAACAGTTGGGATGGTTCTCAGCCAATTCAACTGCCCGTATAGTGGACCTTTGTCCTACATAATATTTATATACCTGACCGGTCTCTACCAGCCTGGTTAACAGCCGGTATGGTTCTCAGCCCATCCGACTGCCCGTATAGTGGAACTTAGTCCTATATAATATTTATATACCTGACCGGTCTCTACCAGCCTGGTTAACAGCCGGTATGGTTCTCAGCCCACCCGACTGCCCGTATAGCCCGGTTGATCTTAACCAACTCGGGGTTACATGCACACATAACACATAGCAAGTACATGCAACCCACATTAACACATTGGGAAGGGGGAGAAAACGTATAACAAAACCTATGCGTGATCCATCACATACTAAGAATAGTCCTAAGGGGTTCATACTTCTTCAACCTAGGTCAACGGGATACCAATTCAACTAGCATGCAATATAATAGATTCATAAACCTACGAATGGTACCCGAAATATCAAACTAGACATAGGCACGATAAACGTAGTCCGTTGGGACACCACGGGGGACGGGGAAGCCGGGAACCCAAGATGGGGAAAATTCCAGCGGGTAGCCGGTGGGTGGGGGCCACCCGCCGGCTGCCCGCCGGATTTATTATTCCGGGCAGCGGGTCGCCGACGGGTAGCTGCCCGCCAGCCGGCTGCCCGCTGCTGGGATCACTATTTCTGCCGTGGGTAGGTGACGGGTCCCCTACCCCCCACCTACCCCCCACTAACTCTTATCACACAAATTCGCCCCGGGAACCATTGTGGAACCCGAAACCATTCTTAGACACTTGGCAACGCAATCAACGACAACACGTAGACAATTAACGTATCAAATACGAGAAACGAACGGCACATAACCTATCATGCTTTTCTAAACATAATCAACACCCAAACATGCGATTACCCCACCCGATAACCCAAGAATAACATCATATGATACAACCTAGGGTTCTAATCACTTTTATATCAACAAGAATACGATTCGCCTTCTAATTGCAAGATTCGGTAAGAATAACACATAAGCATCAAGGGCATCATACAATTATCAAGAACAACACATAATCATCGAGAACTCCATATAATCATCAAGAACATCATAATTATCAAGAATCTCCCAATATCAAGATTATCAAGATCCCCCATGGGATCATCACATCAATCATCAATCATAATCGTCACAAGTCATTAATATACAATAATATGGGGAAATCCTACGGGGGAAATCATAGCTACGAAAATAGGTTTTATTGAGACATGGGTTACCTTTTAGCCTTAATTAATTCCTTGGCTATGAAGGGTCTTTCTTTAAGCTTTCTTGCTTTCTTGATTTCTTCTAAGGGGATTCTTGGAGCTCTTTTGGGGTGGTGGGGCGTTAATCTTGTGGGATCGGTTCTAGGTGCCTCTTAAGTCCCCTATTTATATATTTAGGAGTCCTGACTAGGAACTAATATTATAGGCTTGCTAATTCTATTCCTTTTGGGACTAAGGATTGGGTTCCATGGTCCATAGTGGACTATATTAATTAATTAAAGAGAATCTCAATCATACTCTGAATAGTAAAAGACCTACTTCCTTTATTCCTAATAGATAACTAGGTCTAGGATTCCTAATCAGAATCTGAATAGTAAAAGGTTTACTTTCTTTATTCCTAATAGGCTTAAGGCTCTAATTTAGGCAAGCGCCCATGGTTCATGGTGGGCCTTATTAATTAATTAAAGGGAAACCTAACCGAATTAAATCATATTTAATTATTATTAACGGGATTAATTAAATAATTAATCCGGGATTGAAGGCCGTAACACGGGGTGTTACAATTTTAGTCCTTTATAAAAAAATTTGCCATTTTATGCACAGAGTTATTGTGGCGAGGACGTTTTTGGTCCTCCGTCTATATTTCTGTTAGATAACCGTATGAGAGAGGGGCAATTACGTCAATTTAGGCTATCTCTTTATTGTGAGATGGACGATTTTGGTCACACAATCATGCCTTTACTCTGACCCTCATTTATTTGTAGTTTTGCACTACGAAATGCTCTGCCCACAACCATGCCTTTACTGCAACTTGGACTCTCCGACTCCTTCGAATTATGACCGAGAAGAAAACAAAACACACATAGATATAATAGATAGAAGGAGATACCCTAAATTGACGTAATTACCCCTCTCTCAGACGATTATCTAACAAAAATATAGACGGAGGACCAAAAATGTCCTCGCCACAATAACTCTGTCCATAAAATGGCAAATTTTTTTATAAAGGACTAAAAATGTCCAAGCCACTATAAGTCTAGGACCAAAAATATATTCCGTTTCAGGTGATGACCTATCCTTAGGTGAGGACGTGAGGACTAATCTGATCCTTCCATTTAGTTAAGCCAACGGCTGTGATTTAATTATATGTAATGAATTTAATTTTTCGTACTCAGTTTGTTGTGCATTCGTACTCAGTTTGTTGTGCAGTCATTCTCAGTTTGTTGTGCATTCTGTGTTAGTTTGTTGTGCATTATGTCCAATTTGTTGTGCATTTATAGTGTGATTATTGTGCATCCATCCCACTTTTTTGGGCAGCACGTTTTTGTTTTGTCGTAGCCTTTAGATCACTCAAAATGGATGATCTGGATTAGTCCTCACGTCCTCACCTAAGGAAAGGTTCTCACCTGATCCGGAACCTCTATATATATATATATATATATATATATATATATATATATATAGGGAAAGAGAGAGAGCGAGAGAGAGAGAAAGATTATCTAAAAATTAATTGTAATTATTATTAAAAAAATTCAACGACCCATGTTTAATTGTAATTATACTAATATGTGTGAAATTAATTCTTTAATTACCATAATAATTATTACGTAATTATACTAATATATTATGCAATTATGCTATTATACCTTACGTATACATACATACATACATACATACATACATACATACATACATACATACATATATATATATATATATATATATATATATATATATATATATATATATATATATATATATATATATATATATATTTGCGTAAAATTTTCATAGTAATTACATGGAAGATTACCTTAGGGAATACTAGATTCTTGGCTTGGTTTAAAATTAAGATATGTAAATAAAACAACCATAATAAGACAAATTGAATAGAATGTCTAAAGCCCAACATAGTAATAAGACAAGGGAATGTGAGATTACCTAAGAAATTGGAAGGTATCTGAAATTACCTTCCAATATCTAAAAACTTAATGCGGAGGTTTTCTGACATTCCTTGGGAAAGTTACATAACCTCAACCAAACATGAGAATCTTATATTACCAAGCAAATATAACCTTAGCTTGATTATCTTATATAACTTGAACTACTTGTGCGAGGCCGTTTCACGGGTCTCAATATGTGAAACGGGTCAGATCTTTGATTAATGGGTCAAATCTTTGATTAATGAGTCAGATCTTTGACCTCATTAATCAAAGATCCAACTCGTCTCACGGATTAAGAGTCGTGAGACGCTCTCACACAAGTTTTTGCCAAGTATAATATATATGTATAAAAAAATTAATTGTAATTATTAATAAATTCAAAGGCCCATGTTTAACGGTAAATATACTAATATTTGTTTAGAGAAAATTTCAATTTTGGTCCACTGACTATTAGAGTTATGTTAATTGCAGCACTTGACTTTCAAAAATGATAATTTAGTACCTTAACTATGCAATTTCTATCAATTTTGGTCACGCCGGCCAAATTGCCGGCCAAATCTCACCGGAAAAATTTTAATGGTCAAATTATGAGGGCAATTTAGTCATTTTATTCCTCTTTTCTTTCTTCTCCAATCTTCTCTCCATCTCCGGCGATAATTTATTTTCCGATGACTTGAAATTTTCTCTATACATTTATATAGAGAGAGAACTGAAGAGAAAAATAAAAAATAAAAAAATACACCCGTAAACACACTATACAGATAGAGGAATCGTTCGGTCAATTTCTTTATATCTTTGAATTGCCATTGTGGAATTGGTTTTCCTCAGACTTTGTTCTACGATTGTGGGATTTGGGTTGTCATTTAATTTGGTCGCTTCTCGAATTGAGATCCCGTAGTTTGATTTTACGTCGAGGGAATCCTCGGATTCCTTGTCGTTTGCCGCCGGTTCCCGGGATTTATCTTTTTTTTTTTGGCGATCGTGGCTGAGGTCGGGTCGTCAGAATTGGAATTGCGTTGTTTTTCGAGGTAGAAAGGGGGGCTCGAGATGAATGTGTTGACCTTCGCAGTAGGTTTCTGATGTAATATGGAAGTGGTCGTGAGGCATATTTGCATACTGTGTTTACGCCGGAATTGGAATTTTGGAATTGACCTTGTGGAATTGACCTTCGCAGTAGGCTTCTTTATATCGGAAAATAAATTGTCGCCGGAGATGGAGAGAAGAATGGAGAAGAAAGAAAAGAGAAATAAAATGACTAAATTACCCTCATAATTTGACCATTAAAATTTTTCTGGTGAGATTTGGCCGGCAATTTGGCCGGCGTGACCAAAATTGATAGAAATTGCATAGTCAAGGTACTAAATTATCATTGTTGAAAGTCAAGTGCTGCAATTAACATAACCCCAATAGTCAGTGGACCAAAATTGAAATTTTCTCTATTTGTTTAATTATTCGTTTAATTAAAATAATAATTTTTCATCAATTGTACTAATATTTGTGCTTTTAATTCTATAATTGTCATAATAATTACTCCATATTAGGCAATAATCTAATATTGTGAAATTATACTTTTATACCTTATGTATTAAAAAATATATATATAGAGATTACCGTAAAATTACCATAGTAATTACACGGAAGAATATGAATGATAAATTGCAAAAATAAAATAAAATTGTAAAAAGTAAAAAAAAAAAAAAAAAAAAACTTTTACAAAATGCGTTTTTGGTACGGTCAACACCAAAAGTGCAAATTCCCAAACGCTTTTTTCCAATGATTATCGATAAACAAATGTATCCTATATATTTTTATTCACAAGTTTCAACTAATTCTCATTTCAGTCAATTTATCTATATATATTAGTGTAAACACACATCAATTTTTTTAATATGAGACAAAGGCTTCTTCTAAACCTTTCCATATCCATTTTCCAACTCAAATGGGTATTTCCTAATAATCAATTTTTTATTTACCCATTATCCAATTTCAGCATAATATATATCGATTTCTTTGTCTCTCTTGAAAGAACCCGGATCTCCTGTAACCTGATTTCGTTGTCTCACTTAATACATACAATTGTAGTACGAATATGAAATGTATTACCATATTTTAAAATATTATGCAAACCTTAATATTATAGGAGTGTTTTGGGCAAAAAGTTAAAATGGAGAATTTTGTTTGAATTAATAGTATAAATATATTGTAATTTCTACCCAAAAAAAATAGATATATAGTAACTGTTACTATAATATGCCTATTATAGTAATAAAAAAAAAGTAAATGTTACTATTAGTATAATAGATCACACTCAATAATTGATATGTCTATTGTAATAATAAAATCGACGTATATAATACTATATCTTAAAGTCGTAACAGTTACTATAATAATATATAGTAATTATTACTATAATATACCTATTATAGTAATAAAAAATTATTGTTACTATTAGTATATTATACAATAATTGATATGTCTATTATAGTAATACAATCAACATATAGAATAACATATATTAAAGTAGTAACTGTTATTATAATAATAATATATAGTAAGTGTACTATAATATGCATATTATAGTAATAAAAAAAGTAATTGTTGCTATTAGTATAATATAGTACACTCAATAATTAATATGTCTGCTATAGTAATAAATTCAATATATATAATAATATAAAGTAAAGTAGTATTAATTACTATAATAATATATAGTAACTATTAGTATAGTAAACCTATTATAGTAAAACAAAAACAAAAAAATAATAATAATAAAATTAATTGGTACTATCAGTATAGTACATCAGATTGAATACTCGATATGCTGATTATACTAATAAAATCGACATATATAATAAAATATAATAATAATATATAGTAACTGTTACTATATTATTTGTTAATATAGTAATAAAAAAAAAAAGTAACTGTTACTATTAGTATAGGAAATCACACTCAATAATTTATATGCCTATTATAGTAAAAAAATTGAAATATATAATAATATATAGTAAAGTACTAACTGTTACAATAATAAAATATAGTAACTGTTACTATAATATGTCTATTATAGTAACAAAAAAATAACTTCGTAATTAATTAATATAATATATATAGATTACTATGGAGTACTAATATAATAATATATTAATATATTTAAAGAAAAAAATTATTTATGAATTTTCTAAGCAATATCTTTTGAGAAATACTTTTGAATAATGCATGAATTGGCCACAAAACCCCTATAAATATACATTTTCACACATCCCACCCTCACTACACTACCATCGAGGCTTCTTAGTTTCTCTCTAGTATATAGACAACCATGAATCCAGGAACAACGGCATCCATGTTGGTTTTAATATTCTCCTTGGTTATTGCTACAGGTGACCGTGATTATTATTTCATTTATAAATATTATTAATATCTGAAGTTATAATATTATATTCATATTATTGAGTATACATTGTATGTTCAATTTTGCTTGTGATGTGTATTTTTATTCTTATTATTATTATTTTGAAAAATCTTGAATCATTATTTTTTCTTACATCACCAATATAAAATTATAAATCTTTGTAGACATTTCACTAGTTGCTGAAGCAAGGGGTGCAGGAGAAACATGCAGAGCGGGTATCCTGTGCGATCCTGGCTGTTTTTGTAACGAATTTGACATTTGCAGATGTTTTGCAGTTCCATATAAATATGGGGGTAATGTGGTCAAGCCACAAAAGTTTGAAAATTTTGTAACCGAGGGTGTTGCAGATCAAACTAATAGCAATATCTAGATGATTATATATGTATTGAGAAATGATATATTTAATTGATGAATGATCTATTTCTGAAAACTATATATATATGCGTAAAATTTTCATAGTAATTACATGGAAGATTATTGTCGAACATACAACATACTAACATAAATATTAATATTAATTGATATTAATATAATATCACTAAAATACAGTGTTGTTTAAAAAATGCAAAAATTCAATATGTACCCTGGAGTCATGAAATAAGCACTCTCGTTTTTGGTGGTTGACGGTTGTGCGTTGATATTTCCGGGACAAAAAACAAAGCATCAACCGGAACCTTATATTACTTTTCCTTGTCCTATGAGATAGATCACAGGCAATGACAAAATTTGACTCCATTACTAAACAATAAAGAGAAAGCTGAGAACTAGCAGACAAGAATTAAAAGTATATAATGGTAGAAAATCAGTGAGTTCGTGATCGTTCTATATTGAGTAAATTATATGCGGGGATCATATTAAGTTTAAGTCAATTATTAATTTTCATTTCCTTTTCCTAATTTCCGTGCGGTATATAGTGGTCTAATTTTCGTGCCATTTGGCACAATAGTAGTATGAATAATAATTCTATTACCATATTTTTACAATATTAAGCAAACCTTAACAGGGCGTTTGGTTGAAGGGAATTTATATTTCTTTCCCACTTAATTCCGACATAATTCCAAAGGCCACAGAATTTCCTTGCTTGGTTGAAAGGAATTACAATTCCATGGAATTTCAATTCCCCCATTTTCATGGAATTAAAATCCCATGTCCACCCCCCCCCCCCCCCCCCCGGGAATTTAGGAAGAAAAAAAGATAGTGATGAGTCAAAATTACCCCCTCCCTTTTTAACCTAAAATTAATGTCTAACAACAAAAATGGACATTTTTGACTTTATACTGCTTATTCCCTTCCAATTCCCATGTATACCAAACATTGGAATTGAAATTCCCAGTAATTCCATTCCTGTAAACCAAGCACTGAAATTTAAATTCCCACTTTATTCCAGTAATCCATCTCCGATGGAATTACATTTCCTTTCCCACGTAACTCCCAATCTCCAACCAAACGCCCTGTAATAGTATAGGAGTCTTTTGGGCGGGAAGTTAAAATGGGGGACTTTGTTTTTATATATAGTATACTATAGATTATTATTATTATTAGGAACAAGTGTCAAATAGGCTCATCTACTACTGCGAAGTGCTCAATTTCCAACACGAACTAAATTAAGTGTCAAACTATATTTGTTCGATTGACTTTTTTTTGCGAGTTGCTAACAGGTTGCCTATTCAATTATTAAAAGTAAGAAATAAATAAATAAATAAATAAATAAATAAATAAATATATATATATATATATAATAATAATAATAATAATAATAATAATAATAATAAATTCAGCCACCGGCCGTCTGGCGCGGACAGCCAGTGGCTGAAATTCTTTTATTATTATTATTATTATTATTATTATTATTATTATTATTATTATTATTATTATTATTATTATTATTATTATTACGATTAGTAATTTTTATCTAGAATTGTATTAGGAATAGGAAAGGATGAAAGAATACATTGTATTAAGAAATAAATTGTATTATCGTATTTTTACAATATTACGTAAACCTTAATAGTATATGAGAATTTTGGGCGGGAAGTTAAAATGAGGGATTTTATTTTTATATATAGCCATATAACACACATTATTAAATAATTTTATAAATAAAAAATATAAATAATTAAAACTGCATTATGTATTTATTTCGTCTTGCCGAGAAGTATATGCACTGTATTATTACGATGAGTTATAATTATAATATTTCCATACAACACACATTATTAAAATAATTTTGTAAATAGAAAATATAAGTAATCAGATCTGCGTTATTGATTTTATTTCGTCTTTCTAGGAAGTATATACACTGTATTATTATGATTAGTAATTTTAATCTAAAATTTTATTAGGAATATGAAAGTAAGAAAGAATATATTAGCCATGTTTGATAAATGACGGATTCCACAAATTTTTTGACAAATTTGTCATTTTTTGACGTTTTGAACCTGTCAAAACGCCAAAAGGCCCCTGCTTTGGCGTTTGGGGAAAATTTAAAAATTTTCCCCAAAACACCTATGGTAATATAAAAATATAAAAATTAAACTCCACACTGAGGAGCTCCTCATTGTTTCCCAAAGCAACGAATGCTAATTTGAAAGAAGCCTTGAGGTTCCTTAAATAGGAGTCTCAAGGCTCTATTCTTACTTTTCCAACCGATGTGGGATGGTGAGACTCATGATAAAACAAAAGGAGAATCACGCAAGCTGCTTCCTTCTTTTGTTATTATTATTATTATTATTATTATTATTATTATTATTGTTGTTGTTGTTGTTGTTGTTGTTGTTATTATTATTATTATTATTGTTATTATTATTATTATTATTATTATTATTATTATTATTATTATTATTATTATTATTAGTACTTTTAATGTTGAATTGTATTAGGAATAGGAAAGTAGGAAAGAATATATTATATTAGGAATTGAATTATCATATTTTAATGTGAAATTGTAGTAAGAATAGGAATTGTAATTTCATATTTTTATGTTTCATACCTTCGTTGCAATCCGTTGATTGATTCCTGTTGAGGTGTGATGCGTGTGTGGCTTTACATGGATTGCACGATAAGTGGTATGGGACACTAGTCACCAAGGTATTGCAGCGGTCCTCGTGGTGGCCGTGACGTGATTATGGAGCTGTGGCCTGAGTGATGGGTCCACGTATTTCTTGGGAAGGCATCTGTTGCCATGTTTGTGTACGGTACCTTGTGTACTACGAAATTGGTGGCTTTGTTGGTGGTCGTTGGTGGGGGACGACGGTCCCGGAGGTAAAAGGTTGGACTAAGAAGTATAGGGGTCCTGGAGGTAATGGTTGGAAAGAAGATACAAGGTTGGGGGTAGCCATAAGGTTGGAACAGGGCAAAAGGCATGCATACCAACTCGTGATGGGTGATGTCGCAAGGGCTGTTGTAGCCAGTGTTGTGTGATCTTATTTTGTGACGTGTGTAGTCACAAAGGCAGGTGTGGCCTTGGCATGTGTTGCCGACTGTGTGTGTGTTGTTCTTTCGCATTGTACTTGTCGGGTTGCGGTCTATTGAGTGATGATAGATCGTTCCTTGACTCTTTTGTGAGTCGTGTTGTGCTTGTGGTCTTGGGATGTGTTCCCGTGTTACTTGTGAGGGTGTTGAGTCTTGTGTTGACTACTTCTCTCGGTTTTGAACTTATATATATATATATATATATATATATATATATATATATATATATATATATGTATGTATTCCATTTCGAAAATTATTTTTTGTATATACCATATCTATGTATGATACTTAACGGTATTGGTGGGTTACCTGCATTATTCGCTGACCGGGCGTCGTCCCATGTTTCTTTGTGTTCTTTCAGGTGATGTCTAGACGAGCGCGATGTCTAGTGCCTGATAGTTTAGTACCTTTCCTTTGCTTTATGGCCTGTGAGCCGATGTAGAGATAGACTTATGAGTTTGGGATATTTGTGTACACAATGCAGATTTGACCGCCGTAGCGTTTATCATTGTTGGTAAACGTGGCATAACACCCCTGTTTTGGATTTACTTTTATCCAGTTACCTTTTTATCTTCTGCTGTGCTAGTGTTTTGTTGTGTTATCTGCATGTGTTAAGGCTTTTTATATAGCATGTTTGGGGGGTGTTACATTCAGGGTTTGTTGGATGGGTTTCTCGCCATAAGGGCTGTGATTTACCCGAGTTTGGTTAAGGAATTTTACCGTCACATGGTTGTGACAAAAGAGGGTGAGAAGCTTGAGATCACTTCTAAAGTGAGAAGTGTGAAGTTGGTGCTTTCTAAAAAGAGGCTGGCTCAGCTTTTGAGTTTGACTGCTTCAGGAGTTGCTCAGTATAGTGGTCATTCTTGGATTAGTACGGATACCATGGGGTACCGAGACTACTTGAGCTATTTGTTGGGCCGTACGAGTGGTTTCACTCAAGCTTCAAGGCCGGAGAAAAAGTGGTTGACTGCGGAACAAAGGATTTTGGTTATGTTGGTATCGGACTGTTTGTTGCCTAAAAACAACAAGAGCAAGTTGTTGGGGAAGTTGGAGTGCACTTTTTCCTTTTGTCTCAAGAATATGGTTAAGTTCAACTTGCCTGCTTTAATGTTGCAACACATGGTTTTATGTCAGGATCACAATCGGAAAAGCCTATCGTATGGGATGGTGTTGAGTTGGAACTTGGTTAGGAAGGGTGTCAGTGTGGAAGGTTGTCTTCCGAAGGCCGTGGGAAAGTTGGTGTTGGATGCCACCAACCTTCGGAGTTGTAATTTGTTTCAGCTAGATGATGGGGAATACATCACGCTTGAAGAAGTGGCAAGAAAAGCACCCGAAGAAAGGGCAGAGTTGGCAGCCGAGCTTGGAATCCATGCCGGGAAGTTGAGCCTCGCCGTTCAAAGCTTGGGAGGTGATGAGGAATCCAAAGATGAAGCCGATCGTGAGGATGAGGTGGGAGCACCGGAAGCCGTTGAAGTTGAAGAAAGTGACTCGGAAAGCGAAGAGAACCGACGAAGAAGAGAAGCTCGCACCAAGAGGGAGCACGACTCCATGTCGCACGAAGAGCGTGTTGTCGCCTTGCTTCGTCAGCAGAACCGCATGATCGAGGAGGGCTTCGCCTACATGAAGACGCAGTTCGTCGCCGTGCACCACAGGCTAGATCAGATTGAAGCCAGCTCGAGTCATAGAGGGGAAGACGATGAAGTGTCCGAGGATTCGGAGAGCGAGTCCTTCTAGAGTGAAGCTGTGGCTACCTTGTTCGCCTTTTCCTTAGTAGTTGTATCTCCCTAGCTGTTGTTGCCGTTGTTGGTTGTTTGTTGTTTGCTTTTGTGCTTGTTTTGCTTGTTGCCTTGTTGTTTAGTTAGCCTAGTAGTAGTAGTGGGTGTTTTGTGTTGGTTATTATATCCTTAGTGGTTGGCTAGAAGTTGGTATTTGTGTTAAGACTAGAGTTCGTGATGCTCAATTTATTCATTTGTTAAACTCTTGTCAATCCTTGATTGGATATGTCTCCTTTCTTGTTTTGAAACTCTTGTGAAATCTTTTGAGATTGACCAAAAGAATTCGTTCTTGAATCTCTTGTCACAACGTTGTTTCCTTTCACCGTTTGTTCTAATTCGTCGTACCCAAGCTTCGGGGACGAAGCTTCTTTGAAGGGGGAGAGGATGTGACACCCCAAAATCCAAATTCAATTAATGGATTAATTGAGTAATTAATCCTATTTCAATTGGTGAATTAATTCCTAAAATCCTCAAAATTCAATACTTGGGGACTAGTAATTGACTAGTCAACCCCAAAGTCAAAGTTGCACCTTGAGCTTTGAAGGGAGTTCCCTTGTTCCTTAACTTCCTAATGTTAGTAAGGGCATTCTTGACCTTTCTCATGGTGTTAGTATTGTAACCTAACCTAGTAGACCATCTTCATTCTATCCCTTACACAGTCTAAAAATCTAGCTCTACCTTTTCTCTAAAAAGGTGAGTAGCTTTTCTTCCAAGCGAAGTTGGAGCCTTGCCAAGACTTCAAGAGTTGCTTCCAAGATTCTACCTTTCTTATATTTGGGCATCTAGGATGGTAAGATCTAAGTTCATCTTGTGTTTTTGGTTACATCTTAGGTGTCTTTTCTTAAAGGTAGGATCTTTATGATCTTTTGGTTTGTTCTTGAAGTGGGTTTGGAAGGTGAGCATTGAGAAGAGCTTGTTAAGGTGTAAAGTGAAGTCTTTAGTCTACAAGAGGTAACCCATGCTCTACAAAATCTATTTTGCTTACCTATATGTGATTTCTTGGATTCTACTTGTGTTTTTGCTATGAAATGTGAGTGTTTATGCATTGTCTTGTGAAAATGCATATCTAGAGCTTGTGTTTAGTGTTCAATTGTTCCATTGCTTGGCATTTCCTATGATTCAAGTCATTTTGTTGTATTGGGTGAGATTTGGCTTGTTTTGGACTTGAAGTTGAGTTTGGAGATGAAAATTCCCGAAGGGATTTATTGTGGTACAGGTCTGTAACCGCGGGCGGAACGGCGGGTAGGAGGTCTACCAGTCGCCCACCCGCGAGGTACAGGCTTCGTGGGTAGTGTACCCGCGGGCGGAACCGCGGGTAGGGGTCTACCCGTGGGTCCACCCGCGGGGAACACTTCGGTGTTGTGATGGGATTTGTTCCCCGTGATTCTTTTGACTCGGTATTTGGTCTTTGGACTTCCCGATGTTCTTTCGTGGAACTATTTGATTGTCTTCTTGATGTTTCGTATGTCTAGAACTATATGGTAGGTATCCATGTAGGTATTTGGTGTCTTGAATCGTGCTAAGTGCTCAACATTGTGTTTCGTTGAACCGTGATGAGTCTTGTGTGTTCCTCGTGACTCCCTTTGGTTTACCCATTTGATAAGCATGCTAGTTTGGTGTCTAAAGGCTAGCGTGTGTGATGTTTGTACCTTCCGATGGGTTGATGATAACTTGTGTTATTCATCGTTGTTGTTGTTGGGATGTGACCCATTCCTTGATTGAGTATGTTTCATATCTTCGTTGTGATTTGTTGTTTGATTCCTGTTGAGGTGTGGTGTGTGTGGCTTTACCTGGATTTAGTGGTATGGGACACTAGACACCAAGGTATTGCAGCGGTCCTCGTGGTGGTCGTGACGTGATTATGGAGTTTGTGGCCTTTGTGTAAGGTTCACGTGATTATTTCTGGGATAACATGTGTTATCCGGGGCATGTGTTGCCATGTGTGTGTACGGTACCCTCGTGTACTATGAAATCGGTGGTTTTTTTGGATGGACTGATGGAGGGGGAAGGACGGTTCCCGGGGGAATAAGGTTGGACTTGGTGTACAGGGGTCCTGGAGGTAAAGTTTGGAACTAGATATAAGGTTAGGGGTAGCAATAAGGTTGGAACCGGGCATAAGGAAGGCATATCAACTCGTGATGAGTGATGTCACGAGGGCTTGTGTAGCCGTTGTTGTGTGCTCTCTTCTTGTGACGTGTGTAGTCACAGAGGCATGTGTTGCCTAGGCATGTGTTTCCATTGGTCGTGTCTTTATCCTTTGAGTTGTTGTAGTCCTTTGTTATCTTGGGATGTGTTCCGGTGTTATTGTTGAGAGTGTTGAGTCTTTTGTTGGCTATTAATCTTGGTTTTACACTTATTTTTATATATATATATATATATATATATATATATATATATATATATATATATATATTCCGTTTCGAAAATGGCTTTACAACTTATATCTTACTTATGTATGTTATTTCACAAGTATTGGTGGGTTACCAGCATTATTCGCTGATCGGGCGTCGTCCCAGGTTTTATTGTGTTCTTTCAGGTGATGTCTAGGCGAGTGCGCAGTCTAGTGCCGGTTAGCAAAGCTTCTCCTGTTTGTTTTATGGCATGTGTGCCGATCTAGTTGTAGACTTTGAGACTTTGGATAGTTTTAAACAATGCAGATATTGCCGTAGCGTTCATCCTTGTTGGTGAACGTGGCATAACACCCCATGACTTGGATTTATGTTTATCCTGTTATCTTTTAGTCTTCCGTTGTGTTAGTTGTTTAGTTGTGTTATCTCCATGTTTTAAGTCGTTTTATAGCATGTGTTTTAGGGGGATGGTACAGTTGCCCACTCTGGGTCTTTGGCTTCCCCGTTTGATGTTCCCCGTTCCCCCATTGTGTCCCAACGGACCCTGTTTGTCGTGCTTAGATCTAGTTTGATATTTCAGGTACCATTCGTAGAATAAAAGAGTCTTAGGAATTACATGCTAGTTGAATCGGTAACCCGTTGACCTAGGTGGAAGTTGTATGAACCCCTTAGGACTATTCTTAGTATGTGAATAATCACACGTAAGTTTATTTATATGTCTTCACCTCCCAATATGCTACTACGTGATCCTATGTGTTATGTGATGCATGATCCCGGGCTAAGGTTCGGATCAAATTGGGTGTTCCCGGGCTAAGGTTCGGAAGTCGGCTAAAGGCCGAATGGATTGTTCCCGGGCTAAGGTTCGGAAGTTGGCTGAAGGCCGAATGGATTGTTCCTGAGCTGAGGTTCAGAAGTTGGTTAAGGCCGAATTGATTCACTTCTTGGGCTATGGTCCACATGGGCCTCGGTGCTATGACCCACCGACCTGGACGGGCCAGGCGGTGTGTAGGGCCAACAAGCCGAGGAAGGTTGTAGTCCACCGACCTGAGTAATCAGGTGGTGTGTAGGGCTACGGCTGGCTGCGATCCACCGAGTGATGGGACAGCGGTGTGTAGGGTCGTAGTCTCCGAGGATCTTCGCACACCGACTGAGTCCCTAAGCGGTGTCTAGGGCTTGATCCGCTACGGTCCACCGACTGTACGCATCAACGGTGTGTAGGGTCGTAAGTCCCACCTTGTAAAGGGGATCACGATCCACCGACTGTGCGTGTCAGCGGTGTGTAGGATTGCGGTCCGACGTTGAGTTCGTCAGCGGTTCTCAAAGGGTTGGTTGCGATAAATCCCCTCATACCGCGGTACTGAGGTAGGGTGTTACGGGGCCGTGTTAATGCTATACGCAATAACCCTCTTGTTCGGGGCATGCGATTGGTCCCGTGGCGCCATCAATGATTTTGTGATATGAATGATGCTTGAATGATGTGTTTTGAATTGAAAAGTGATCTGTGACCTTAGAGGTGTATTCCTTATAGTGTTAACTTTACTTAACTGATTATCATTGATTAATGTGCTTGTCTCTATTCGCTGAGTCTATTCCCGGTTTTAAAGCTAGAGTCTCCTAAGTATATATCTTCCTGCTTCAAAATGATTTTCCTATATATATATATATATATATATATATATATATATATATATATATATATATATATATATATATATATATAGAGATGAGTAAATCCCAGAGCGCGCTAGAGATCCGAGGCGTAGAGTAGTTATTTCACTTTCGGCCTGCGTGCCATGCTTATGTATTGACATTATTTGAGGATTTTAGTTAGTTAGCCTGTGCACCTGAGTTCTCTGGCTCAGGTATGGCATAGCACCCCATACTCTTATGTTTGATTTTGGGATATAATGGAGATTTACCGATATTATATAAGTTTTAAAAGTTTCAAAATTTCGGGGTTTTACACTAATCATCCTAGACAGAATTCGTCTCCTTGGTTTTCTTCTGATTGGTTTCCGGGGTCCTCTTCTCCTGGAGCCAAGTTTTCCTTGTCGAGGTTGCCTTTGTTTTCGAATTCGGCCTGAGTGCGGTGTGACACCCCAAAAATCCACATTCAATCCATGGATTAATTGAGTAATTAGTCCTATTTCATTTGAGGAATCAATTCCTAAAATCCTGATTTTCAATACTCAAGGACTAGTATTTCACTAGTCAACTTCAAAGTTATGTTGTACCTTGAGGTTTGAGGGGAGTTCCCTTGTTCCTTACACTTTCTAAATGTTAGTAAGGTATTCTTGACCTTTCACCAAGTTTTAGTATTGTAACCTAACCTAGAAGACATCTTCAGTTCATCCCTTACACTTTCTAAAACATTAGCTCTACCTTCTCTCTAGAAAGGTGAGTAGCTTTTACTCCAAGCTAAGTTGAGACCTTGTCAAGATTCCAAGATTTGCTTCCAAGATTCAACCTTTCACCTATTTGTGCATCTAGGAGGGTAAGATCTACGTCCATCTTGTGTTTTTGGTTCCATCTTAGATGTCTTTTTCTTAAAGGTAGGATCTTTATGATCTTTTGGTTTGATCTTGAAGTGGGTTTGAAAAGTAAGACTTTTGGGGAGCTTGTTGAGGTGTAAAGTGAAGTCTTTTAGTCTACAAGAGGTAACCCATGCTCTACAAAACCTATTTTGCTTACCTATATGTGATTTCTTGGATTTTACTTGTGCTTTGCTATGAAATGTGAGAGTTTTTGCATTTGTCTTGTGAAAATGCACATCTAGAGCTTGTGTTTAGGGTTCTTTTGTGCCATTGCTTGGCATTTCCTATGATTCAAGTCATTTTGTTGTGTTGGGTGAGATTTGGCATGTTTTGGACTTGAATTTGAGTTTGGAGATAAAAATCCCCGAAGGGATTATTTTGCACAGGTATATGTACCCGCGGGCGGAACGACGGGTCGAGCTCCACCCGCCGCCCACCCACGGGGAACGTAAGCCGGTGGGTGTGTACCCGCGGGCAGAACCATGGGTGGGAGAATACCCGTGGGTCCACCCACGGGGAACACTTCGGTGTTGTGATGGGATTTGTTCCCCGTGATTCTTTTGACTCGGTATTTGATCTTTTGACTTCCCGATGTTCTTTTGTGAAACTATTTGAGTGTCTTCTTGATGTTTCATATGTCTAGAACTATATGGTAGGAAGCCATGTAGGTATTTGATGTCTTGAATCGTGCTAAGTGTTCAACATTGTGTTTCGTTGGACCGTGAAGTGTCTTGTGTGTTCCTCGGAACTATCTTTGGTTTCCCCGTTGATAAGCATGCTAGTTCGGTGTCTAAATTCTAGCGTGTGTGTTGTTTGTACCTTCCGATTGGTTGATGATAACTTGTGTTATTCATCGTTGTTGTTGTTGGGCTGTGACCCATTCTTTGATTGAGTATGTTTCATACCTTGGTTGTGATCCATTGATTAATTCCTGTTGAGGTGTGGTGTGTGAGGCTTTACCTGGATTGCACGATTAGTGGTATGGGACACTAGTCACCAAGGTATTGCAGCGGTCCTCGTGGTAGTCGTGACGTGATTATGGAGTTGTGGCCTGAGTGATGGGTCCACGTATTTCTTGGGAAGGCATGTGTTGCCGTGTGTGTGTACGGTACCTTGTGTACTATGAAATTGGTGGCTTTGTTGGTGGCTTGATGGTGGGGGACGACAGTCCCGGAGGTAAAAGGCTGGACTAAGAAGTACAGGTGTAACACCCCGTGTTACGGACCTTAATCCCGAATTAATTATTTAATTAATTCAATTAATAATAATTAAAAAGGATTTAATTTGATTATAAATCCCTCTATTAATTAATGTGGTCCACCACGGATCGTGGACCCTTGCCTAAACTAGAGGCATAAGCCTATTAGAAATAAAGAAAATGTTCCTTTAATTATCATACATGTTAGGCTTGTTATTTCGTAACTGTGAATATTTAGTATAATCTGCTAAGCACAAAGATTAGGCATAGATCCTACATAAACGGCACCTAGGCTCACAACATGCTACACTACATGATTAAACGTCTACATCCATTCGTAAATAAGGTTCGCCCGTGTTGATATATGTGCATATACACTTTATAATGATTATGTGGCTATCCAAATCTGCACCCGCGTGGCATTTGCCTCTCATTTAGGTACATAAATAATTATATGATCGGTACGACTCCTGATCCTATATGTTGAATCATTATAAAATAATTAAATGAGGAACACGCCACATGTAAGACTTCTATGTAATATATCAGTCACCCGTAGGACTTACATATTGTGTGTTGCATATTCGTAACCTTGTCATTTGGTGCTTTTGCTAGCACAATAGTTAGGCTCAAACCCAGTAAATTTATGTGTGTATGTGTATATATTTCCCATATAATACTTTCCTTATGAACTACTATACTAATTCGGGCTCTATACCCCAAAATGATTTCTAAGTTCGGGGACCTTAATCCCGAATTAATTATTTAATTAATTCCATTAATAATAATAAAAAAAGATTTAATTTGATTATAAATCCCTTTAATTAATAAATGTGGTCCACTACGGATCGTGGACATTTGCCTAAACTAGAGTTATAAGCCTATTAGAAATAAAGAAAATGTACCTTTACAATTCAGATTATGATTAGGATTCTCTTTAATTAATTAATATGGTCAACCATGGACCACGGACCTTTATCCCTAAAAGAAGCCCGTAATCCTATAAGGAATAGAATTAGTAAACCCATACCATTCAGACCCTAATTAGGACTCCTAAATATATATATAAGGACATAGGAGGCACCTAGAAGTCACACCACAATAATTATCACCACACAAGAATTCCCAAGGGACTCCTCACCACCAAGCCTAGGGAGATCAAAACGGATGGAAATCTTATGGAAGAACCTTAATAGCCAAGGGATGATTAATTAATGCTAAGAGGTAACCCATATCTCAACATGATAGGAATATTTTTGTAAGTTTTGATGAATTCAAATGTACTTTAGATCCCCTTTGTTTTTAGGTCTTTGAGCACAAGCATCATAAATCAGAATATCGAGTCAAAAGGAATCTACCATAGGAAGAACAAAATTAATTTGAGAAATTAATTTTGGTCTTACGAGTATTCATCCGAGAAAGAAGCATAAAGAAATGATGTTGCAAAGAATGATTGGATGAGCCTAATGGCGAAATGGTAGAAGTCTTTACTCAAAATGATCACACCCGAGATTGATTCCCCCCCCCCCCCCCCCCCCCCCCAAGGACTTATTTTTATAAGTCAAATTTTCGGACAAGCACAATGTGCAAAAGAGCACGATGTTCACCAAGGAGCACAATGTGACCAAATCAGAAAAACACAATGTTCAAGTCAAAGGAGCACGATGTTCAAAGTCAAAGGAGCACAATGTGGCAAAGAAGCAAGATGATCAGAAATTGGATAAATTTGAAGGAATTTATTTCCAAGTCTACCCACATGCCACAAGAATCCAAAATTGCCTGAAAGACATTTGATCAGAACGGAAAAATATTTATGAAGACATGAATATAAAAACTTATCCTAGAAATAAATTCTATCAGATGAATTTATTTCAAAGATACGTTAGATATTCAATATGACAACAAAATAATATTTTGAACAAATCAATTGGAGATAAGATATTATTTTGTCAGGCAAGTTGACAATCAAATCAAAATTGAAGACCTACTATTGTCAACAATATCAGGCTATGAAGATTCAAATTTCAAATATCAAATTATCCCACTCCAACGGATATATTTGATTGCCTATAAAAAGCCATGAAGACTTGAAGACAAAGAAGTGTGTATGGAGCAGAGGTGTACAAGATAGACACAAGATAGAAGAGCAATACACACGAAAATTCAAAAGTGCAAGTGCTCAAATATTCTTAGAGACTTAGTCTGAATAGTCTCAAATCTAGTTGGAGAGAGATACAATTACCTTTGTATTTGTAATTGTAAAAAGAGTATAGCTGTGTGCAAAATACTATAGTGAGTGTAGCTGTGTGCAAAACACTCGTAGTTGCTAAGTGTAGCTGTGTGCAAGACACTTAGTTGGCGTTGAGTATAGCTGTGTGCGAGATACTCGGAGTTGAGTGTAGCTGTGTGCGAGACACTCGGAGTTGGGTGTAGCTGTGTGCAAGACATCCGGAAGAAGTGCTTGTGTAGCGCTTATTCACTATTGTAACTGTGTGTGGAAAAATAGTGAATTTCTCCTAGACGCGAAAGGAGAAAAGTGGACTAGGAAGATTACGCCACTTCCGAACCACTATAAATTGCCTCTCTCATTTACATACCGCACTTACATAATTTGCTCTACCTATCTATCTTATCCGACTAACCCGTTTACTATTCATAATCAATCTTAATCGTTCGGGTTTAGTGTGTCTTCACGTATGCATGTGACTCAAACTTCTCGAGCTTAAATATTGAATTATTCTAAGCAAAGTTTGACGTGTTGCATATAACATTCGTTACACGGTCGACGTGATACGATATTTATTTACAATCTTGAATATTGTTATTATATATTGAGTGAACCATCTCCTTTATATATTCAAGATCCCTCTGTCACTTTATTCATCTTACATGCGTATTTAATTCATTAATTGGGCATAACTCTTTACATACTACCTTTTCCGCTGTGCAGTTTAAACTTGCTCTATTTACTTGCTACTTAGAGTTGAAGTTACCAAAGAGTTATTTAAATTGTGAAAAAGTTTAGAAAGTCTATTCACCCCCCCCCCCCCTCTAGACTTTCTACCACCCTATTGGGACCAACAATTGGTATCAGAGCGGTTGTCTATTTGAGTCAATCTTGACTGCTAGACAGATCTCGAAAAATCAAGATGATGAAAAGAGATATGGCTCTTGCCCAAAATTTATTATTTTCCTTAGAGAAATTTGATGATTGGAAAATTCGCGTGCAGGTACATTTATCCGCATTACATGATGAAATGTGGGAAGTAGTTACAAATGGTCCTATTGAGATTTTGCAAGTCAACACCTCATCCGTACAAA